TGTCGGAGTGTTACGTGTGTCTGTCGGAGTGTCACGTGTCTGTCGGAATGGTACGTGTGTCTATCGGAGTGTGTCTGTCGGAGTATTACGTGTGTCTGTCGGAGTGGTACGTGTGTCTGTCGGAGTGGTACGTGTGTCTGTCGGAGAGGTACGTGTGTCTGTCGGAGTGTCATGTGTGTCTGTCGGAGTGTTACGTGTGTCTGTCGGAGTGTCACGTGTCTGTCGGAGTGGTACATGTGTCTGTCGGAGTGTTACGTGTGTCTGTCGGAGTGTGTCTGTCGGAGTGTCACGTGTCTATCGGAGTGTCACGTGTGTCTGTCGGAGTGTCACGTGTCTATCGGAGTGTCACGTGTCTGTCGGAGTGTCACGTGTGTCTGTCGGAGTGTTACGTGTGTCTGTCGGAGTGTCACGTGTCTGTCGGAATGGTACGTGTGTCTATCGGAGTGTGTCTGTCGGAGTATTACGTGTGTCTGTCGGAGTGGTACGTGTGTCTGTCGGAGTGGTACGTGTGTCTGTCGGAGAGGTACGTGTGTCTGTCGGAGTGTCATGTGTGTCTGTCGGAGTGTTACGTGTGTCTGTCGGAGTGTCACGTGTCTGTCGGAGTGACACGTGTGTCTGTCGGAGTGTCACGTGTCTGTCGGAGTGGTACGTGTGTCTGTCGGAGTGGTACGTGTGTCTGTGTGTCTGTCGGAGTGTTACGTGTGTCTGTCGGAGTGTCACGTGTCTGTCGGAATGTCACGTGTGTCTGTCGGAGTGTTACGTGTGTCTGTCGGAGTGTCACGTGTCTGTCGGAGTGTCACGTGTGTCTGTCGGAGTGGTACGTGTGTCTGTGTGTCTGTCGGAGTGTCACGTGTGTCTGTCGGAGTGTCACGTGTCTGTCGGAGTGGTACGTGTGTCTGTCGGAGTGTGTCTGTCGGAGTGGCACGTGTGTCTGTCGGGGTGGTACGTGTGTCTGTCGGAGTGTGACGTGTGTCTGTCGGAGTGGTACGTGTGTCTGTCGGAGTGGTACGTGTGTCTGTCGGAGTGGTACGTGTGTCTGTCGGAGTGTGTCTGTCGGAGTGGTACGTGTGTCTGTCGGAGTGTGTCTGTCGGAGTGGTATCATTTTTCATGGAAAACTACAGTGACACAATGGAATGGCCAGTTGCCATTAGCGAGCGGCGGTAACATAGGAGATTCGTAATGCCACAGAGGCAGCACATCGCTTGAGTCACATTTCTAAAAAGGTTGATAAATAGTTTCTTTTTTCAAATGTAGAAGTATGTCGTCTGTAACTTTCAAATCCGCCCACGCACGGCTTCACTGGTGGCCGAGGCGTCAGGCTACAGAATAGAGCGTGTTGTTGCATGTTACCATTTGACAAGGAAAGATGAAGGGAGAACCAACTGTCTGCTTATTGTTACTATTCAGAAACAATACATGAGTTGGATGCCGGTTGAGTTAAACGATTGCCGCGCTACAGCGGTCCACCATCATACTATGATCGACAATGGCCTACTGCAATCTTGGCGGGTCTTGCGTAGCGTTGGAAAGTACCTCCAGGTTGATTACGACTGCGCTGAGGACATTTTAAACAAAAGTCGATGACGTTATACAATTTGTGATGTAGGCTACGGGTGGATTGTGTCATGTAACACGTTTACAGTCGTTTACATCAAAGAAAGAATTTTGCAATAGGAAAGATCGTGATTGACAAGCACCGTAGCTTGAGACTTCAAAAGACCAGATAGGACTCTATTATTTCCAAGAAAACAAGGAGGCCACCCCTCTTCCCCCAAAATACGGACAAATTACAACCTCCCAAAATATGGCCAATGACAGTATGACAGTCCCAAGCCTGTATAGACGCAAAATGTTAAAGTTAATGAAATGTCCTCCTTGTCATAAGATTTCTAAACATGTAGACCTTCCACTAAATCCATTGTTTGACGGTCCAGCAGTACTCCTTTAGCTAGATTCGAATTTCTAACCAGAAACATCGCAGTAAATCTTCAACTAATCAAGCAACAGGAGTTTTCTCTTTTCAATGGTCAACTAATCAAGCAACAGCAGTTTTCTCTTTTCAATGGTCAACTAATCAAGCAACAGCAGTTTTCTCTTTTCAATGGTCAACTAATCAAGCAACAGCAGTTTTCT